AAAAGATCTTGAATTCCTTGTGGATAAACATTTAGCCATTCCGAAGCACCCTGCACCCAAATTTGAAGATATTTAGATTTTTAGGAGTCACATTTGTAAGTGCAAAACGATTAATGGTCAAAATCATAAAGGCATAATCTAGTAATTTGATGTGCACCTTTGAACCGATGGGGACCCCGTTACGCTCAGCTGCCACAACGTATATGAATATCAGAATCTAATTAGTCTATAAACTTAAATTGCATGAATTAAATTCTGAATTTTTACTCACATGAAAGATTAACTCCAGCATCTGTTGTGTAGCTTGCGTATACAGAGTTATTTTGAGGTGCATCACTTGCATAGTAACCAGCATAGTAATTTAGTCCAAGAAAATCAAATGAACCAATTAGCAACTCGGATTGTTCTTTCGTGAATTTTGGTAATCGGCTTCCGACAAGAGATCGCATGCTTTGAGGATAGTCACCACTTGTCAATGGCTCAACAAACCTACAAGAATGTAAAATTTTCAAGCATTAACTTGACATTATAATATACATTGCTTGCTAGTAAGTAGTAAATATTACATATTCATAAGTAAATTCAAAATACACTTACCATCCGAACATAAAATCCAAAGCTCGTAATGCAGCATTCTTATTTTCTTTTTCTTCTGATAGGGGCTCAAACCAATGTGACACTAGTGTTATCCCTATCACTCCATTTTGAGAGGCCTGCATAAGAACATTTAGTTTGTTTGTTTAGGAGTTAGAAAAAAGTAAAGTAGTCACTCTCTTGTTACAACTTAGAATCCAATATTATGAGAAACAAAAAAACTGATGAATTGTACCTGATATTTATTTTTGTACAATTTTACGGCAGCTGCATGTGCAAGGGGCAGGTGGGGTGTTACCAAATATGGTTCAGTAGATGAATCTCCCCCGGTGCAGTTTAGTTGCTGCCAAGTAGAGCATCGTCCCGGCGCATGAGACCCGATTGCGTAACCAAAGTTACTAAAGGTATATGGCTCATTCAGTGTGCTCCAATGCTTTACTCGATCACCAAATTCCTTATAACAAAGTTCTACGTAATCTTGAAAATGATTGCTGTATATACACATATCAGAATGTAAATGTCATAATTGTATTTATTAATTGAATTATTAATACGATTAAGAGGACTAATTTCTTCACTTACACAATATGAGGGCTTAGGAAACCACCATATTCGTCTTCTAAAGTTTGGGGAAGATCCCAATGGAAGAGTGTCACAAATGGCGTTAGACCTATAAATGGCATGATCAATAAAAGCGAGTTATAAATTTGATAAAACGAGTTTTTTATTTATTTATTTTTTTTATGAGTGCATGAAACTGTAATTTTATAAATTACTGATCATGTGAGGTGGGATGACTCACCATTGCGTAAGAGCTCATTGATGAGATTGTTGTAATATTTGATTCCTTCCTTGTTCACTCCTCCACTTAACTTTCCATCTAATGATTAAAACAAAACAAGGAAATAACGAAATAAGTGCACCGATACAATTTAAACTGAACTTTAAAAAAGTTGGACTATATGTCGAAACTTGAACTTCGACTTCTATTTAATTTATCTTTGAAAAAAAATAATATTTTTGCTTCAGTTATTTCAATTAATTATTTTAATTGAAACAAAAATCTTTTTTATATTATTCGGTAGACAACTTGGACACATTACTTAAGCTAAAATCAACATGAAGGCAGAAATATTGACGATTGGTGACAACCAAATGTGAGGATGTGGATGAACTTACTTGGTAATAATCTTGACCAAGAGATAGAGAATCTATAAGCATCCCACCCCATATTCTTCATAATCCCCACATCTTCCTACATTGCATAACAAAAAAAGATTTTATGAGAAAGAGCTAAACATTATGGGGAGCTTATCTTCAATATCCAGAGTTTTCTTCATGCTTCAAAATTTAATATGTGCACATTGGGTCATGAACCTTATAGCGGTGATATTGATCAACAGCGATATCTCCGTTACTGCTATCATTAATCTTTTCTGCAATAAATCATTGAAAATTTAATTAAATATTTAGAGCATAAGAGTAAATGTAATACCATTTTGTTATTTTAACTAATTCATGATTTGATTGGACAGACCTGGATATTTGTGGGTGAAGGTATCCCAAATGCTTGGTCCTCTACCACCTTCGTTTGCAGCACCTTCATACTGAAATACACAAGAGACACAATGAAGAAGATGTCAATATTCTTGCAAGGATCGATGCTTGATCTGAATTTGAAAGAATACCCTAACCAATCAGAACAGAAATTAAATTAAAGCCTAGAAGAAGGAAGGACTTACTTGGTAAGATCCAGAACCTACGCCAAATATGAACCCTTCTGGAAAACTGCTCCTATTGAGAGAAGCAGTGTCAAAATGCGTGGGTGGAGCTCTAATATCTGCTTTGCTATTTGTCAATGCAAAGCCAATTAGTAGCAGCACGCCTAAGAGAAAAGATCGTAATTGCATTGCCATAACTTGAGGTTTTTTTGTTGGTAATAATCTTGATAAGTATAAGTTGGCTCTGGCTGGCATGCTTCATGGCCTTTATATAGAGGAGGAAGTACGTGCTGCAAATGAGAACAAAACACAGATGGGCATTGAATGGGTTTGAGGGGGCAACTACGTAGAATGTCATGGTAAATAAATCTAGTTAGAAAAATCTATTCAAAAGTTTGACCATTGTCAAGAATCAAAATTTTCAAAACTTTCAAATTTTCTACCCAAATAATTACATTAAATTGTCCTTCATGTCCAGCAATAATCTCATTTAAAAGGTCAAAACGATAGGAGAAAGAAAAAGAGATATTCTTGAGGTTATTTTGGAAGAGGATGAAAAGAAAGTTGCTATGAGAATTGTGTGGAACAGTGAAGGCATAAGTTTGACAAGAAATATGTAAGGATGAGTTTAGCAATTACGCTAGCCATAGACTTGTTCAAGCAGTAGCGTATGAAAATATCATTAATTCTCCACGTTCTTCTTTGCTCTTCAAAATATCACTCTGTTTCAAGAAATAAATTATATTCACAGCCGAGTCATTAAAAAAAATGCCTTGAACGAAAGCTTATTATGGGAAGAAACATAGCGGTTGAGTTTGCTTCATTTTCATCCTCTGATTTCATATGGTTAATAAACTCTTCAATTATGGAATTCTTGGAGCGACACATGCTTGCTCCCATTCGTGTTTACTCCGATCCAATCTGATCCAAATAAGAAAGCATATCTATTGTCAAACTCATCCTTACATATCAATTCTCATAGCAATTTTCTTTCTGTTTACCCTAAAGATAAATATGCAGAAATGACTTTTTCTTTACCCTTCCTTTCCGTTGGTTTTAATGCTATTTTTCTTCTTGTAATAAAGCTTTCCTCGAAGATGTTTCTTTTGCTAGACTTTTTCTTCTCGTAATAGCTGTACATTCCTTTTATAGAATACTGTACATGAAGGCAAATCGTTTTGAATAATTATCCAATAAGTCACTAATTTCTTGTATGATATATATCCTCTTTTGGGTACAGTTACGCTGGAAGAGAAACGATAAATCAACAAAAAGTAGCATTATATAATAATTGGGTACAAAGTGTTTAAATTTTTGAAAACCCATCCAAGTGTAGATGGCATTCTGATGTAGACTTCAAGTAAAATTAAGCCATCGGGTCGAGCTCGATTAAAAAAGGTTTTGACTTGCAAACCAGTGGTCTCAGATTCGAATCCATGACATCTTAATAACGTGTGTATGTGTGTGTGTGTGTAAAAAAACCCTCAATCCTTGTAGTTTAGACTATGCAGCTTGTATTCAAGAAACTTAATAAAACTAAAAATTTAAGTTTGTTGAACAAAAAAGAAATCACATATTATGCACAAATATTTTGGGTTTACAATGTCAACAAAACAAATGGTCCGTCAAATTCTTTTCAAAATTTGACGCATGTGGTTAATTAGGAATTAGCGGCTACTATTCCATGTTTGACTATTCATTGAAATATGAAACTTTCCCTTTGTACCCTTCTAATTGCATGCACGCATGGTTTACAAAGAAATTTATTTCATCATTGCTTACTATTCTCATGCGCAGCCGTACTTGCTCTATATAAAGGCCATGCAACATGCCAGCCAGAGCATAGTTGGTGACACATCACCTACTCCTTACTCATGCAGTTGTTGCAAAATTCTACAAGAATAAATATCTATGAGTAAGTAGTACGAAGATATAATAGGGTGGTGTGGAGTATTTTACCATTTTGTGGCTCTAAATCAACTAAACTTGATATTATTGTGCAAGCATCTCAAAGAGGAGTTATAGGGTAAACATTGGTATCACACTTGTTCGTGCCCCTTTCGGAAGTAATACAAAATAAAAATGCTGCGATACGATCTTTGGATTTCATGTTTGGATGGTAAGTATATTAGGAAGTTACTTATGAATTTAATATTTACCAGTTATTGGAGAGTAATATGCCAGATAATACCAAGTTAATGCTTGAAAAGTTCATGTGTTTTAAGGTTTGCGGAGCCATTGACCAGTGGCGACTATCCGCAAAGCATGCGATCACTTGTTGGAAGAAAATTACCAAAATTCACTAAAGAACAATCTAGGT